GTGTGTGTGTGTGTGTGTGTGTGTGTGTGTGTGTTGTATAGTGTAAGACCATGAGCCCTGAAATCAGAACTGTAAGTCATGATGTTTGTCTCATGTGGTCGTTTATTTACTCTGTGTAGGGTAAGCCACTGAACACTAATCTCACTGAATTTTGGTTGTACCAGATTTTTAAAGGCCTATAACAGCATTGATCCCTTGATAGTCACACCATGACAATCAGATAATTCCTAAAAGCGCTTTATAGAATGTTACACACATAGAAAATGGTGTCATTTTTAGTTTGCATTTGTGTTTGGTAATTTAGCCTTTGACTTAATTTTCCTGTAGTTAAGGGAATTTTTTCCCCGCATGTAAGTCTTAACACATACATCACTAGAGCTATTTAAATATATTCTGTCAATAAGATAGCTTTTTAAATATGTTTGGGGGTAACTGAAGAAACTTATATGGATCATGTCTCTATTTTCATAATACTATAGAACATTTCTTAGTGTAATTTTAAAAATCAAGATGTCAGCTTTAAGCAAAGCTAAAATATAAATTATTTTACCTACTTTGGAAAATTCTAAACATAATATTAAATTCTTTTTTTTTATAAAACTTAAATGCTTTGTAATTCAAGAAAACTTTTTTTTAGAAAGCATTGACAAATGATTTCTCAAACAACTAACTACTCTTGCAAATTTTCTGCCTGTAATGGTCTCAATTTATGATTTTTTTCATTAGCCTATTATATTCGGATGTAATTCTACATAGGCATTATTAGCTAAGGACGTTTCAAGTGTTTCATTTTTATAAATGTTTTTTTTTTTTTGTCTTAGGTAGGACATAATCATGGTACCTTCTGACTAACCCCAAAACCAAAGTACACAAACAAGAGAGGTTCATTAATGAATACCATTTTAAAAAATAACTTTTAGGAGGTGTGTTTAATTTTTTATGGCCTGAAATTCTGCATGTTAGGAAGGTACTAATAAACCATTCAACAAAAAATGTTAGGGTTTGTTTTATTTTTTTTATCAGCAAAATGAAAAAAAAAAAAAACTAGTGCTTATATGCTTCCTTTTTATCACACCACAACCCTAAATTAACTCTGGGGAAGAACAGAACCGCACAGATTCTTCAAATCCATTTAATATTAACGCAAACATTATATATTCCACAGACCTTTGTGCTTGTCAGACTCTGATGTGTACTGCCTAATGATGGCATGCCGGGGCGAGATGCTCTAATTTCCTCAGATTTGGGCAGATGAATAGAGAGAGTGATGAGGTCACTGACCTGACATTCAGAGCCTGTTGAAATAAGTAAATTATTTAAGTGTCCTACGCAGAAGGGATGAAGAACTACTGCTGAGAATACAGGTAAAAGGTGCCATTTTGGCAGCCCTGAGATGTAAACAAAGACATCTAACCATCCAATGACACCTCTCAAAATCATTAAGAATTTTTTTTTTTTTTAGTCAATAAAGAGAAAAGTGTCATAAAATGAAGATGTTAGACTATACAATATTATGCTTTGAAAGGGATTAACACTCTTTGGAAGAACAAGAAGTGGTATTTTATCCTCTCCAGTTGGAGGAACTGTCCTGACCCTTCCTCTTCCACTTCTCTTCTGAAACCCAATGCATGCACTGTATAAAATGCTATGGCCAGGTAATGAAAAATTCCCTTGCTTTTTTCTTACCTCAGTCCACAAAAACAAACGTATAATCCTTCAGCTGAAACAAATGCTCTCAGCTGAAGTAATCAATAAATGTTACTTCATGTGAACAGAAGATGTAATGATGATGAATAACCCTCTGCATTTGCAAAGATGCTGTGCTTGGTTGAATACACTCTTCAGTGTGATCACCCAGGTTTCTTCTATAAGTAATGTGAGTAGATGCTTATTCTCCGACTCTTTGCTGATAATGAAAGAGTGCAAAGACCTTAAGTGGTTAGTCTGCCAACATCAGCCAGGATCAGATCTCAAAACTTAATCTGGGCCCGGAAGATAGGGAAGATATACGGCAGAGTTCTTACATGCCTAAAGTTGTGGTTACAAGAATCCAACTGAGTATGGGTTAGGAGGAGAGATTTTTTTTCCAAGACAATTATGCTGAAACAAAAGAGAGAGAGAGAGACTAAGGTAGAGGAGGGTAGGGAAGACAAGATGTCCTTAGGCAAAAGGGGAAGAGCAAGGCAGCAGCAGTAAGGGAAGGCAGTAAGAGCATTCAGGAAGAACGTGTCCTGGGTGTGATCACCCAAGAAACTGGTGTAGGATAATAAAGTTGAAGGTGGGCTTGTCCACAAGACTGTGGAATTTCAGTCAGATGAAGAAACAATGGAGAAAACTTTATAATGTTACAAGCTGTTTACTTTTCACAAAATTCTCTTCTCCTGTAACCCAGAAAAATAGCACTGAATATAGAGATTTCTTTTTCTAAAATGTTATGCTCACATGGAACAAGGCACATCTACTATTTACCACACCTTTTCACCTGCATTTTCTCACATAATGCTCAAGACAACTTCTACCAGTTAGAAGAAAACTGCTTCTGAATTGAGGCAGATAAAATGCTTTCTCTTTTCCAAGCATCTTAGATGGCAGATCCAAAATTAAAAACCCAGGTTTTAAGATCTCTTTTCCAAGTAGGCTTTCTTTCTTATTAGGTTCCTTTTTTTTCTAGCAAAAAGTAGTTCATTCACATTCCAGAGAGAAGAGAAGTGTTCATACTTGGACTCTGTTTCTCTGGTATCTTTTATATCTTGTCACAATGCCCTGATAATTCTCTCTCCCTCTCTCTGCCCTTAGAATTGTTTTATTATGTATTTGGCCAAAGGTTTTTGAACATACTATCTCATTGCATGATGGGTCATGAAATAAAAGACTGACGGTGTTAGCGTAGAAGTTACATTCTGTCACAGTAAGTTTAAGAGCTGCAGAGAGAAGGGGAAGGAACGAGAGCGAAAGTTTTAAAAATATATGTTTTCAAAACCTTCCTACTAGAAGTTGAAGCATCCCTGGGGTAAAACTTGGAAGAGATGGTCCAGTTACACTTCTGTTTTCTTGTCCATGCTTTGTATTAAAATGGGTGCAGTGACCTGGAAGTCTAATTACCACTCTCCAGATGCCTGTTTCTTGGGTTGCTGTTAAAAGAACTGGGACTAGTTGGTAACCATCCTATCAATCAAACCCCATAAATAACCTGGGCACTTCTGCTGTTGCTGTGCTGCAGAAGTTAATGAACACTTAGGAAGAAGAGAGTCATGCACTACAAACTCCAAGTCAGGTTAATGCAAAATGGAAAAGTCAGTGCTGAAACTATTAGAAGGAAAGTCAGGCATCCAGAAGCATCCCTTCTGCTACTGCAGAGGTACAGCTATCTGCAAACTTGGAAATGCCTCATCCTCTCTTGCCAGAAGAGCGGTGGGGTGGGGGACACTTCACTCTGAATTCTGGAGATTGCACAGCATGTGAGGTCACATGAAGGAGCAGAGAGAGGAAATCTGCAAGTGCAAAGAGATAATAATTCCGCATTGAGCGGAATTAGAACGAGCCAAGAAGAACACTGCTAAGGGAGCTGTGGGAAGGCTGGTCTGTTATCAGGGAAGTTTCTCTGCTCAGGTGCTCTGGCAGGTGCAAGCAGGAAACCTCAAAGTAGACGAATTCAGGCCTCTGCTGAGCAAAATCAGCCACGCCCTCCAACAAGGAGGCCACAGGAGCAATGGAACCCGAAAGGGAAGCACACCTTTCCGCCAGGGTTGTTCAGCTTATGAAACAAGCACATGCTTCAGAGTCATTTTAGTGAGAACGGAGCAGAACAAAATTCTTATAAAACGCATTGATGCTCAGGTCCAGTGCAGAATACTGGAATCTTCTGAGGGCACATTTGATATTTGGGATGGATGAGTCCATAGACAATTAAGTTCACTTACTCAAACTAAGTTTAGTAATAACCACTGCTTGAGAGAAATTTTCACTCTTTAACATATTAGTTATATTGGATTGAAAAATACTTGATAGACCAAAAGTAACAGACACCCTCTCGTTTTCAATTTATCCTCATGGGGATTCACATAAGGATCCCTTCGTGAGCTATCCCTGTGAGGCAGGCAATATTCTCTGGCCACCATAATGTTTAGGATGGAGTGGATAGTCTGGTCATTTCGGCAGAAAGAAGGATGCAGATTCTGAAGTTGAGGCATTATCTCCATTTTCATTAGAGTAGCCTTCGGAGCACAGGGGCTGCCTGGGAGAGGAAAGGGTAAAGAAGGCGTTCAGAACCTCGTTTCCGCCAGGTGAAACTCATCAAGACCCTCATTTTAGATTGCTACACATTGCTGAAGGCAAGGCGCCACAATTTCTCTGGTAGAATATATTATTCAAGTTGCAGGCCTAAAATCAAATTATAGGAAGAAGTCCTGTGGTGTAGAAAATTTTAATTAATTAGAAATTTGTGTGTCTTCGTGAAATTCATGTTTTCCAGTAGATAAACCAGACTAAATAAAACTATGTGCAAAGTCAGGCGTTCGCACAGCAATCCCTAGGTATCTACGCCCTCCTGCAGAATAAAAACTGAGCAGGAGCCGCTGCCTACTACCTGGTAATCCCCACTCTTTGACCTTTCCTTCCTTCCCATAACTGCTGGTGAGTCGAGGTCTTGATTTAATTAGTGTTCCCATCGGGAGGCTGCTAAACCTAAGAAGCTCCATGCCAGGCTTTTCTACACACAACACGACGGTGCCAACCTCCACCTTTGCAGCATAAAACATTGTTGCATCCATGGCGATGACAAATGCTGTGTCATCCTAATATTTGATACCTTTGCTATAAGAGCACACGCGAGGGCTAGGAAAAGCACCTCTTAACCCAAACACGATCTCTTCCCACACTGTCCTTGTGGTCATCCCTTCAAGGACTATAGCGTGCCCCCATCACCTCCCACCATTGGGGAAGCTACATGGAAGGCTGGTAGGGCATATGCTGACTCACCCTTCCCTCTCTTCTCTTTGCAGCTCCAACGGGAAATCCGTGACATGGGCCCAGAATGAGAAGAGCAGCCGGGGGCAGCACCTGTGGCAGCGACTGTCGGTCCACATCAACAAGAAGGAGAACCCCAACCAGACAGCTGTCATCAAACCCTTCCCCAAGAGCACGGAGAGCCGCGGGCCAGGGGCGGGGGCGGGCGCGGGCGCGGGCGGCGGGGGCTCGGGCCCCGGGGCAGCGGGCGCTGGTAACGCAGGATGCGCCGTGGCTGGCGGCCCGGAGCCGCCCGACGCGGGCCCCAAGGCTCTGTACGACGTCGGGGAGGCCGAGGAGCGCTTTCCCGCGACCGCCAGGCCGCGCTCGCCCTCGCCCATCAGCACGCTGAGCCACCTCGCGGGCTCGGCGGCGGGGCGCACAGACGACGACGCGCCGTCGCTGCACTCCGAGACCGCGGCTCGCAGCAGCTCATCCCAGGCCTCGCTCATGGAGCAGATCAGCAGCGTGGTGACCCGCTTCACCGCCAACATCACCGAGCTCAACTCCATGATGCTGTCCACCGCGGCGGCGCCGGGGCCTGCTGGCGCCCCCATCTGCTCCTCTTACCTGATTCCCAAAGAGATCCAGCTGCCCACGACCATGACGACCTTCGCGGAGATCCAGCCGCTGCCGGCCATCGAGGTGACCGGAGGAGCTCAGCAGGCCGCAGGGGCATCGCCTGCCCAGGAGACGCCCGCAGGAGCTGAGGCTGCCCCAGGCAAAGCGGACCTGGAGGAGCTGGTGGCCCTCACTCCGCCATCGCCCTTCAGGGACTCGGTGGACTCGGGGAGCACCACCCCAAACTCTCCGGTCTCTGAATCGGCCCTCTGCATCCCATCCTCTCCCAAATATGACACTCTCATCATCAGAGATTACACGCAGAGTTCCTCGTCGTTGTGAGACACTGGAAACTTCCCCAGGATAGGCGTGAGCAGCAGACCTCGGTGTTCACACGTGGGCGCAGCGACACCCATAGTCACCCCAACAGGGAACCTGAGGTGGAAGAGGCCAAGGGCACACACAGTGGATACACAAGATCAATAGTGCTATTTCACGACAGCCGATGACGACACCAATTACACATCTTCTGGCAGATTATCTTCTAGTGGCCTTAGAAAACATGGGCTTTTAAGAAACACTGCTTCTGTTTGTGGAGCGCTGACCGGGAGAGGCTGAAGCAGTTACAATACCAAGTGCTTTGCTCTGAGGCAGCAACAGTGTGAAACACCCTGAGCGGTGAAAAGTGGAGTTAATAAGCAATTGTAGACAGTATTGTTTGTTTACTTCATTTTCCCAGAAGAGTCTGAGTCACCAAACATTGAATGTACATTTTCTAAAAAACTCAAAAAAATCTGGGACCAAAAAGTCAACCTTTCTGTTTTTTTCCTTCTTTCCCTGGTCCCTCCATGCAGACCTTGAAAAGCTAATAATAGGGCCCAGTTTTTACTGGGCTTGTGAGTCTCCTACGTAACACAAACGGGTAGTGAGTGTTGTGCTAGCGTACAGAGAGTTTCTAGCAAAGACTTTGAAATCGGGCTGTGAAATACTCTTCCAAAAGCCTGCATCCTGGATTCCGCTTAGTTATTTCGGATTCACTTCCATTAACCGAGAAAACCAGTGCAAGATTTCTGGACTCTTTCACCATGTTGCCAATCAATCCTGGAGTAGCAAAAAATAAAAAATAATAATATTTTCTGGAACACTGTTTTGTAATTCCCTCACTGGGGTGCATTGTGTAGCTGGAAATTCTCTTTGTAATAATAATACATGAGCTATAGCCTGGCTCTCTCTCATGATAACACAGGCACTCCTCCTTATAAATGCCCTTGTGTTAGTGTTGCCAGCTGAAATAGTAAGATGCGCAATGAGCTTCCTCATTCGTTTCTTTTGAGAACCTGATATACAAAGAGATCCTCTGTTGTTGGTGGCTGTCTTACCCCAAGTCCCACCTCTGGAAGAGTAGTCCATAGACCCCGTGAAGATGTTATAATTAGAGGGATTGTTGTTGAAAATAATAATAATAACAATAACAGGAAAGTTGGCACAGCCGAACATTTGTTAATGCCCTTGAGTAGTGATTTTCTCTTTTCTTGGCTGCTTACATGGGGCAGCTAAGAACTATGACAAATGTAGATGTTTTCAAAGCAATACAGAATACTAAAACAGAGGAACCTTAATATCAACTACACAGTCTTTCTCAGCCATTCCAAGAAAAAGGCAAAGCAAATACTATCCTTTACTTTTTAAAATAGTTATTAACGTGGTTTTGTGCAATTCATATTGTCACTTTTTAAATATTGCAGAAAAGAGTTTTAGAGTTACAATAAAAACATACTCATGTTGGTGGGCTCATATAGGTAGAAACTGTAACTGAAGACCTAAAACTACTGTCATCTTTTTATTGGTCCCATTGCAGCAATCCTCAGGTACCAAATGTTCTTGACTTTTAAATAAAGATAGTAATAAAAGGAGGAGGTATCCTGTAAATTTAAAGTTCAGTTGACCCAGCCTTATACTAAAGATAGCCTTATAAGAAAGATTTGCCGTGAGAAAGAAGTATATTTTTGGCAGAGAGAAATTTAACTAGAACTTTAAAATTCTTATTTCAGTATCCTTGACAATTTTGTCATTCCTTGGTTGGCTTTGATTTTGGTTGCTATTGGTTTTGGGTTTTTTGTTTTTGCTTGTTTTTGTTTGCCATCTGATTTAAAAACAAATTGAAACTAGATGTCTATTCATTGGCCTAATCTGTCATTCTCCAGTTTTAAGTATTTATGGTTTAAAAACTATTGAAATTGCTTTTCTGACACCTGTTCTTATTTGAAATTTTAAATCAAACCTTCCATATTAACACATTAAAAGCTAATAATAATTCATAAGATTATTATCTTGAAGTGAATCAAACTTCTTTTTTAATCAAGCTTCTTAAATCAGATTTGAAAATAACATTATCAGGGCAATGTGATCCCAAGTAGTAATGAGATTTTTTCAAACAGAAATCTAGCTAACTTGCATAGCTTCATTAAAAGCAAATGCCTGCCTCTACCTAAAAATCCAAGCAAATATTCTGATATGTCAATACCCCTTTGTATCCATCAATAAAATAGCGTTTGCCTGGGGTGGGTTAGTGTCTGGTTTCTTAGATGTTAATATCTTTCTACATATGCTCTACTTTCTGAGTTGCAAATTTTGTTTCATTGACTCTTACCTTGATTTTCTGTTTTATTTTCACGTGCAGCAAGTTTTATTCCTTTGACATTTTCATCCACAATTTTCTTCTATAATTTTCATGACATTATTTTTAAAAAATTACTACATTATCAGGGATTGCACTAAGAATTCTAATTTAATGCAATTCGCCTGTGATAGCAAAGTCAACTGTGACAAAATTATTTATTCAATTAGAAGAAAATAGTTATTTTTCTTATATGTTACCATAACATTTGCCATTTCATTGAATACATTGTATATTGCAAATACCAGTAATACATCTTTGAAATCTTTTACTTTGGAATCACACTAACTCTCTTTGCTAATTCTAATACCAGGTTCCAAGTAATAAATATAATATAAAAAGAACTAAATATTTATTTTAGGGCTAGAATATAAACTTCCAAATTTATTTGGGTACCTATTCTTACTGAGTTTCCTTGATAACAATTTGTTCCGGGGACCCGGTGATAAATCAGTTGGACCCTGTGTAACTAAAAAGAAGAGTGAGAATGGTAAAAACCATTAAAGTGGCCTGAAGGAGAATTTGGCCTTGGTGGGAAAAAAAAGAAAAAGACCTCATTTAATTAAGTTTATCATCTAAGAGGTCCACTCACCTTCCTGTTAAAAAGAGTGGAGTGAGCCTGAGAAGATTGTGTTTGGCTGGGGCTAGACATAGGGAACAGGAAGGAGATCAGGAGAGGAAACTCATAAGAAAATTGACAGACTCAAAGGAGAAGGACAAGGCAAATCTCCAAATGTGCTAATCTTTGAACGTAATAGTCTTTTTCAAATGACTGACTTACCAGCAAGTAATCAGAAAGACTCGGAGCTATTTATGACTGTAAATGCATTGTACAATGGCTCTGCTGCAGTCTGTGACTTCCAAACCAGGAATAAAACACTCTTTTTAATAAAATAGAAAAAAAGAAGAAAAAAAAATCCTGTGCTAGTCTCCCAGCAAAGTGTACATGGTCTGGAGACTTCAAAGTTATTATATGAGTTCACATTTAGCAGCAGCTTATTAATAACCCTCAAGCTGTCAGAATCTCTATAGTTACCATTTACAATTTTATACTGTGAAAAATATAGATCAGTGAAAATATAAAGATATCTCAGAAGTTACTTTGAAGAGTGTCTGAGGCCTGGGAGAATTTCTAATGTTTATTGAAGAATGGGGCATGTATAAAACAGTTGGCTGGATTTCACTGATCTTCCCAATGTGAACAAATATACTATGTATATTGTGTGTCTTTCTAGAATTCAATGGCAGCTGCTGGTGATGTTGTAATTAGAAATCTATATAGAATATAGATGTTTAGAGAGATGGTGCCAATACTAAAATATTTGTGTGGGCTACAAGTGCTTGTACTTATTTTTTTCTGCACTCAGAACTGATTTGGTTTTAAAACTGTGTGCACAATCTGTTCTTCTGTTGTTGCAGCTTGTACTATTAAAATAATAGAGAATGTTAAATTATTTTGATGTGAATTGCAAATGATTTTTTTCATAAATTTTAACATTTTTATCAGCATTGTTTCGCTTTGTACTTGTATAAATGTGTTTTATTTTAGCATTTTAAAATATACTTGCCTGCTTCTCAGTTGTCTAAATCACATTATAGTTGGTGTTTGTGAAGCCAGTTAATTTTTGGAAACTATTAAAAAAGAAACTATGATATGACTTCAAGATTATTCCCCTCAAATGCTTAAAATGTTGTTCTAAAGGTATTTCCTGAGAATAGCACACACGTTTGAGTTATGATCACTGGATAATAAATTAAAGTAAAGCAACCACAAACCAAACATAGATTCTGTCCCTTTAAAGATATACATATTTACTTTAAGAAAATAAGACAGGGACCACTGAATTTTTTTTTTTTTTTTTAGCTAGGCATACAAAATACAGGAGTATTTTTGAACTTATCTGTCTGGATGCTGTTAATATTACACATACGAAATTGACAAGGTGTGTGTGTGTGTAAAACACTTGTAGACACATTTACATGTTTACTTGAGTGTCCATTTATACATATCTTTGTAATTTTGTAATTTTGTTTGTAAGGGTGGGTCGCTGCACATAATATCTATATACCTTTCCAAGAAAAACATTGTCAAATCTCCTTTTAATTTTGACTCCTAACACTTATATTTTGAATACTAATAAGTGAAAATGTCAAAGTAGAACATGTATTTGACTTGATTTACAAAAAAAAAAGGTACAGTTTAAAAATATATCCTCTCTGAGTTTACAATAGTTGGCATTTACACTCAAACATAATCTATAAAAGAGATATAAATGCATGTACTTATTATACAGAATATACTTAATCTTCAACAAGGTAGCCAATTTTCTACATTATCACTATTTGCCCTTTGTAATGTTCTATTCTTCACAAGTCATTCATACGAAATTGACCTAAAAGTGAGATGCCTGAAAAAAAATAGAGAAAAAATTATCTTCCAAAATGTAAGAGAGACTTGCTTCAACAGAATCATAGAAAACCACTCAAATCCAGTTAAAGGAAAAAGAAAGCAGGGAACACACAGAAAGATTTATCACCCTAACAACATCATATTTAGATTGGTTGGTTTAACTTTTTTACAGCTCAATTCTTTTTTTTTTTTTTTTTTTTCTTGAAAAAGCAAAAGAGAGGGGAAATGTAATGTTGCTTTCATTTCTTGCGCTCTTGGTCCATGGATGAGTGTTTGATATATAGGAGCTGTTATTTGTGGAATTAGTATCAATATATTTAGCACACAGTTAATACTCCACAGACAGTTTAAATCTGTGATGCTCAGTCTTGTGTAGAAATACAACAAGTTATTTTTAAGGTTAAAGCATATGCCAAGAAAACCTACTAAATGAGCTAACATGAAACTCTGAAATCATCTTTGAGGAAAGTTAGTAATTTGGTATTGAGTGCCACAAAAAAAAAGAAAAGTTTTTGTTAACTTCTACTTAATGCTAGCCAGTATTATTTCTATGGTCAGTTTTAGGGAAAAAAAATTTACTTTTTTTGGCTGCTGGAGAAGTGGTTAATATAAACTGTTAACAAAGCTATCTCCTCAAACATAAACATAGTATTTTTTATTGCTTACAAGACATTGTATTTCTTACAATTATTGTTAGTCCATAAACTCCAGAAAAGTGAAATTAGCTTCTCCAGTTATGTCTACATTCCTAGATAGAAGTGATACAGGAGCCAGGCGCGGTGGTTCATGCCTGTAATTCCAGGACTTGTGAAGGCAGAGGCAGGAGGATCTCTGTGAGTTTGAGGCTAGACTGGTCTGCAAAGCAAGTCCAGGACAGCCAAGGCCACACAAAGAAACCCTGTCTTGAAAAATCAATCCAGAAAAAGAAGAAGAGAAGGAGGAGGAAGAGAAGAAAGAGGAGAAGGAGGAAGAGGAGGAGGAAGAAAACTAAATTTTCACATAGTTAAATATTTTTACTCCAAGACAAAGGCATTAGTTTTAATCATGGCATGTGTCTTTTTGAGTGACAGACAACTTATAATCAACCTAGTTATTTCATGCACATACAGAAGGAGCACATCTGGCTTATTTAATTTATATTCTTATTCATTGACATTAAAAAGTAAACTTTACATATTGTTGTAATAAGATAGATGTTATATTATAAATTATACGAAGGGTATGCCTTCAAAAGTACACATTTGATTATCCTTTCTGAGGTATTAACCTGCCACAGGCAATTCATAAAAAGTTTCTACAGCTTAAAAGCTTCAAAAGCAGAATAATTCCAAATAATTTACTGTATTCACCTCATAATGTACCAGTCCTTAATATGCAAATATGCACTTTTAAAATTAAACTTGTCACTAGAGAACACATGATCCTAGAATTTACTTTGAAAATGCTACAATAGAAAACTACAAATTTGTACAATTAGTATTCAAAACCACTTGCTTTCTGATTCCACGAGGATCATCTAAGACACTTAGAGTGAAGACTGAAGTGGTGGAGCCTCTTCTCCAGTAGGCACCATCCTGAACCACAGGAAGTCATGCTCAATGCTGCTATTCATTGAAATCCTCTTTCAGGTAGTGAAGGTCTCTAACATCTTAAATCCCATCCTGATCCACATACATCACCCCACTACCAAAGAGCCTTGAATCCATCTAAGTGTATATAGAGAAATCTCTTACTTTCGAAGATAAGTATACAATCTAGTACCTCAAGAAAAGCCAGAAACAAAATTTGTGCCCACCCTTGCTAGTTCTGGCTCACCAGAATGAGAGAACTTAGTGCAAATACCTATTAATTTAGTTCTTGAAGAAATGAATTGAATTCCTAAAGAATAGGAAGGGGGCTGAGATAAAACTCTGAAGTGATTAAATGGGAATGAGTACCTTAAAGAAAGTGTTGATGGTGACAAGGCCAACAAGCAGATTGTGAAACCCAAAAGGAAGAATAATGTAATTGTATCAGTGGGTAATGTTGAGGGCAAGCAAAGTATCATCAGCCAACATAATCCTGATACACAAAAAGCAGTGACAGAAGCAAATATTAAATAAACAAAGGTTTATAAGGGATATTAACTTTTAACAAGAAATAATTCAAGCATAAAGATATTAAAACAGTCAAAATGTATGCTTTCATGGGTAAAATACTTAGATGATGAAGCAAATATTAAACAGTATGTGATTATCACTAATGTTTCAGAATTTACAAAACAAACAAAAGAGAAAAAAAACAATTAGACAATTACAATCTTTAAATTACCTTACTAGAAATGTATTTAAAAGTGTGCATGGAATCTTATGTAAGAAGTGGGAAATAGTAAGATCTGGAGAGGACAGGAACCCTACAAGGAGAGCAAAAGAACCAGAAAATTTGAACACAGAGTTCTTCCCAGAGACTCATAATCCAACCAAGTACCAGGCATGGAGATAACCTAGAACCCCTGCACAGATGTAGCCCATGGCAGTTTAGTGTCCAAGTGGGTTCCATAGTAATGGGAAGAGGGACTGCCTCTGACATAATCTGATTGGCCTGCTCTTTGATCACCTCCCCCTGAGGGGGGAGCAGCCTTACCAGGCCACAGAAGATGACAATGCAGCCACTCCTGATGTGATCTGGTAGACT